AGGTGAGGCCACCGGGCAGCTTCACCCGGTCACCATGTCCCACCAAAGTTCTTCCATGTGGCGCCGTGGCTGTGAAGTGGCTCTAAGTCCCTGTTGTGTCCCCTCTGTCCCCAGGGCACGTCGGGAGAGGTACTTTGAGTTCCCGTTGCTGGAGCGCTACCTCACCTGCAAGCAGCACGCCCACTCCTTGGTGTTCATCTACATCTTGAGGAACCTACTGTTGCTCCTCTTCTTGGTTGCCACTTGCCTCTACTTGGTCTTTCTCCATCTCAACATCTTCTTCCAGGATGAGTTCAGCTGTTCCATCAAAACGGGGCTGCTCCAAGCAGAGCCTCATATCCCTCCGCTCATCCCTTGCAAGTTGGTCTTCTTCTCCGTCTTCCAACTCATCAGCCTCTCGGTTGGCGGCGTCTATGTTCTCCTCATCCCCGTCGTCATCTACAACGCTTTGCAGCTCTGCCAGTGGGACAAAGGGTTGCTCTCTGTCTATGAGATGCTCCCTGCTTTTGACCTTCTCAGCCGTAAGATGCTCACCTGTCCCATCAACGACCTCAACATCATCCTCCTCTTCCTCCGGGCCAACATCTCTGAGCTGACCTCCTTCGGTCGCCTCAACGCCGTGAACGCTTTGAGGGAACCCACCTCGAACAAGGAGGACATCGATACCGTCGTCGATTTCATGACGCTGCTGGTTGGGTTGGAGACCACCAAACCCAAACCTCACGTTTGTACCCCCGAGGCCGGCGGCGCCGTCTCCCTCTCCAACGGCGCGGCTCCAGGTAGGGGTTTTTTTTTGGGTAGAGAAGACTTTTTGGCTCTTCTCTCAGCTCTTACACCACCAGATCCCACCCTGGGGGTGAGGCTGGATCCGTCCACCATGGCTCTAAACTTTTTTGCCAAGAACATAAAGATTTTTTGGGGATATTTAGGTGGCTGCTGCGCGTTGCTGGGAGCGCCGACGGCTCCGCTTAGAGCCGGGGATGGATTCTGGGAGCTGGGATGTGATGCTACTTCGAGCCCAGGCGTGGGCAGGAGTTGCTATAGGAACAGAAAGTGGAGAGTTTGTGGCTTCAATCCAAACTCCGGGAAAAATGGGGAGATGGAGGTGGTCTCATGGGGATCCCTGACCTGGGAGGGTGGGACCGGGACCCCTGGGCTCCTTTTCCTGGAATCCACTGTCTGAGGGGTTTTATTTTTAAAAAAAAAACCTCCAAGTTGAGCTGTATTTAGCATCCCTGTTGGCATGGCAACCATGGGGCTAGCAGAGCTGGTTCTCCAGCCTGGAATTAACTTCCTCCTCTTCCTCCCTTGCCCAGGAATGAAGCCGGGAGTGGAAACGCTGGGAAAAACCTCTCGGGATTCGCTGGGCTCTGCCTGAAATTCCTTGGATCCAGCGGTGGCTCGAGTGCATTTAACTCTGGTTTTATGGAGTGAGGTGACATCTGTAATGTGACATCTGAGCTCACCTGCTCTCTTCCTCCATTTGGAGTTCCCCTTACTATGATTTTGGGGGGAGGGGTTGATCTGTCCCTCCTTTCCAGTAAAAAAAAAGGTTAAATAATCAAATTTTTGGTGCAGAAACTCTCTCAAGTGTCTTATTTCAAAGCGCCGGGTGTCACATCGCGTCTCTTCCCCATTAATTTCCCTGTTGTTACAGGGAATGGAGGATTAAAGGATGCTCCTCTGAAGGGAAAAATAAAAAAGGATTCAAGAATAAAATAAACCATTTTATTAGCTATTTATTAACTATTTATTAACACAACCCCAGCGTTAGAGTAGGAGGAGCAGCACTGAGGGGTTCAACTCCCGCCCCGGGTCCTGCCACTCGTTTTAACGTAAATTTTTCACTAATTTCATTTTAAATTCACTTTTATTTTCCCCCCTGTAGCTTTGATTTCAGGCCAGAAAGGAACTGGAAAGTGTTTAATTAGTAAAATTAATTAAGACACTTCTCTAAATTGGAAAGATGGGACGCCAGCAGCCTTGAGCTGCTTTGCCAGAGGTCTGAGCTCGCTCTGTTGTCCCCTCACCCCCAAATCTCCTCACCCCAAAAATCCCTTCACACAAAATCTCGCCCCAAAATCTCCTCACCCCAAAATCTCCTCACCCCCAAAATCTCCTCACCCCAAAATCTCCTCACCTAAATCCCTCGGGCGCACCAGGAGCCGGGGAGGAGAAGCAGCTCCTTCCCTCCAGCTCTTTGGGAACGCTGGGGTGTCTCCGCTGCGGGGAGGGTGTCCAGGAGGAAAGGGGGTGCGGGGAGCCCCCGGCTGTTGTAGAGGACACAGGACTGGTACTCACAGGGCCACTCAGCCCAAGCGTAACGCAAACCCAACACCAACATCCCGCAGCCACCCAGGGCCAGTGTCACCGTCCGCGATTCCACTGTCACCACGGGCGCCGGGAGCCACTGGCACGGTGCCGACCCACTGGAGCAGCAAACCTAGATACGGGGCGGGGGGAGAAACCTCCATCATGGGGGGTTTCCCTCTTCCAACCCTGGGAGGAAGTTTTTCCCCCCTTCCTCACCTCAAACCCCTGGGTGTCCCTCCGCCGCCAGACGAGCTCCTGGGTGTAGGTGACGTTCAACAAACCCTT